CTGCATACAGCGTGTTTCCCTCTCCGGTTTAGATTTACACATATATCCTGCATACAGCGCGTTCCCCTCTCCGGTTTCGATTTACACATATAGAAACATAGAATGTGATGGCAGATAAGAACCATTTGGCCCATATATCCTGCATGCAGCGTGTTCCCCTCTCCGGTTTAGAGTTACACATATATCCTGCATACAGCGCGTTCCCCTCTCCGGTTTTGATTTACACATATATCCTGCATACAGCGTGTTCCCCTCTCCGGTTTAGAGTTACACATATATCCTGCATACAGCGCGTTCCCCTCTCCGGTTTTGATTTACACATATATCCTGCATAGAGCACGTTCCCTTATACAGTTTAGATTTACACATATAGAAACATAGAATGTGATGGCAGATAAGAACCATTCGGCCCATATATCCTGCATACAGCGTGTTCCCCTCTCTGGTTTACATTTACACAGATATCCTGCATACAACACGTTTCCCTCTCCGGTTTATATTTACACATATATCCTGCATAGAGCACGTTCCCCTCTCCAGTTTAGATTTACACATATATCCTGCATACAACGTGTTCCCCTCTCCACTTTAGATTTACACATATATCCTGCATACAGCGCGTTCCCCTCTCCGGTTTACATTTACACATATATCCCGCATACCGTGTGTTTCCCTCTCCGGTTTAGATTTACACATATATCCTGCATACAGCGTGTTCCCCTCTCCGGTTTAAATTTACACATATATCCTGCATACAGCGTGTTTCCCTCTCTGGTTTAGATTTACACATATATCCTGCATAGAACGCATTCCCCTCTCTGGTTTAGATTTACACATATATCCTGCATACAGCGTGTTTCCCTTTCTCCGGTTTAGATTTACACTTATATCCTGCATACAGGACGTTCCCCTCTCCGGTTCAGATTTACACATATATCCTGCATACAGCACGTTTCTCTCCAGTTTCGGACATTTACACATATAGAAACATAGAATGTGATGGTGCAGATAAGAACCATTTGGCCTATATATCCTGTATGCAGCGTGTTCTCTCCGTTTAGGAGTTACACATAAGGTTCCTGTATACAGCGTTCTCTCTCGTTTTTGATTTACATTATAAGTATTCCGTATAGAGTAATGTTTCCTTATACAGTTAGATTACACATATAGAAATATAGAATGATGGCAGATAAGAACCATTCGGCCCATATATCCTGCATACGTGTTCCCCTCTCCAGTTTAGATTTACACATATATCCTGCATACAGCGCGTTCCCCTTTCCGGTTTACATTTACACATATATCCTGCATAGAGCACGTTCCCCTCTCCAGTTTAGATTTACACATATATCCCGCATACCGTGTGTTTCCCTCTCCGGTTTAGATTTACACATATATCCTGCATACAGCGTGTTCCCCTCTCCGGTTTAAATTTACACATATATCCTGCATACAGCGTGTTTCCCTCTCTGGTTTAGATTTACACATATATCCTGCATAGAACGCATTCCCCTCTCTGGTTTAGATTTACACATATATCCTGCATATAGCGCATTCCCCTCTCCAGTTTAGATTTACACATATATCCTGCACACAACGTGTTCCCCTCTCCAGTTTAGATTTACACATATATCCTGCATAGAACGCATTCCCCTCTCTGGTTTAGATTTACACATATATCCTGCATACAGCACATTCCCCTCTCCGGTTTAGATTTACACATATATCCTGCATACAGCGTGTTTCCCTTTCTCCGGTTTAGATTTACACTTATATCCTGCATACAGCACGTTCCCCTCTCCGGTTCAGATTTACACATATATCCTGCATACAGCACGTTCCCCTCTCTGGTTTAGATTTACGCAAAAATCCTGCATACAGCGTGTTTCCCTCTCCGGTTTAGATTTACACATATATCCTGCATACAGCGCATTCCCCTCTCCGGTTTCGATTTACACATATAGAAACATAGAATGTGATGGCAGATAAGAACCATTTGGCCCATATATCCTGCATACAGCGTGTTCCCCTCTCCGGTTTAGAGTTACACATATATGCTGCATAGAGCACGTTCCCTTATACAGTTTAGATTTACACATATAGAAACATAGAATGTGATGGCAGATAAGAACCATTCGGCCCATATATCCTGCATACGTGTTCCCCTCTCCAGTTTAGATTTACACATATATCCTGCATACAGCGCGTTCCCCTTTCCGGTTTACATTTACACATATATCCTGCATAGAGCACGTTCCCCTCTCCAGTTTAGATTTACACATATATCCCGCATACCGTGTGTTTCCCTCTCCGGTTTAGATTTACACATATATCCTGCATACAGCGTGTTCCCCTCTCCGGTTTAAATTTACACATATATCCTGCATACAGCGTGTTTCCCTCTCTGGTTTAGATTTACACATATATCCTGCATAGAACGCATTCCCCTCTCTGGTTTAGATTTACACATATATCCTGCATATAGCGCATTCCCCTCTCCAGTTTAGATTTACACATATATCCTGCACACAACGTGTTCCCCTCTCCAGTTTAGATTTACACATATATCCTGCATAGAACGCATTCCCCTCTCTGGTTTCGATTTACACATATATCCTGCATACAGCGCGTTCCCCTCTCCGGTTTCGATTTACACATAGAGAAACATAGAATGTGACGGCAGATAAGAACCATTCGGCCCATATATCCTGCATACAGCGTGTTCCCCTCTCCGGTTTAGAGTTACCCATATATCCTGCATACAGCACGTTCCCCTCTCCGGTTTAGGTTTGCACATATATCCTGCATACAGCGCGTTTCCCTCTCCGGTTTATATTTACACATATATCCTGCATACAGCGCATTCCCCTCTCTGGTTTAGATTTTATAACATGACAGAAGGCTTCGTGTTGTATTTGCTTAAGTCTCTCTTAACTAGAACTCCACAGCAGCACAGTAAAACAACCAATCAGAAAAAAGTTAGGTACTATAAAACTCCCCTCCCCATGCATCATTTCCTCTTTCTTTGCTGCTCTGCTGTCAGTACAGGTCAGAGTACCACTGCCTCCTACTAATAGTGGGTGGCTTTGGGATTTTATTGCTTATATTCAGTATTTTTTTTTTTTTTCTAATTCTTTATTTTTGTTGTGCAAGACATAACAACAACACTTGTTCTGCCATGACAGCAGGTGCCAGTGCAATATTTTCAAACATAGCTGATACAAAGGCATGGCAGTAGATAAACGGCACATTTTTTGTAATTAAGTAAGGACATTGAGAGCATTAAGAGTACGATAAACATTTGAGCGGTCACCATATTAACAAACTTTTACGTATTTTTTGCACCACGGTTAATAGCATAGTCAGTTCCTGTAGGAACTAATAAGATTGAGTAAAGCATGCGCTCGATTCTTCAATTCTGCAGTCAGTTTAACGATTAGCAGGTATGGCTGGGGTGAGGTATGATGCGGGGAACCAACTGAGATCGTGATGGTATCGCAGGTTTACCCTAAGGTATACATGTGGTCATTCAGCTTACAGTTAACGCTTATGGCCACTGGACCCTGGGGCGCATTAGCGCTAATGCTAGGGTGCTCCACACTAGGGATTGCGTTTGTCGAGGTATGAAATAGATAGGTACACAATAAACATAATATAAAAAAAAAAAAAACAATAGCAGAGAACTGAAAACATAATAAGCAATGCAGAGTCATCCGTGTATGCAACTGCCGCCACTGTCTGAGCCAGGCTCGGATTATAGGAGCAGTCCCCGGATCACCCAATTCCTGCAATCAGCAGGGTTGATGTATTGTCGTAATAGTGTTGTAGAATTATAGAATTCTTGAAATTATCTAAGCTAATGCTTTGGCAGGAAGAAATGTGCTGAATAATAAAATGTGTATTTACTAAAAGAACCTTGAAACTAACAATACTAACTACTCAAAATGGCTGCCAAAGCACCCCTCCCATCGAGTGAACACCTCGTGCTAACAAGATGGCGCCCACATCTTGTGTCCACCCCCGTGTCAAGGATGACATCACCTCTTGATAGGAGGGTGTGACAGAACCATCTGTCTGCTGGATTTTTTGCCCGTTCGTCTGTTTGTCCCCGTTCGTATGAATGGCTGGTTTCTATAGCCCAGCCATTCGAATGACTCTTTTTCCCGAACAAAACCGCCGAACGAACGGCCACCCAAGTGAGGAGTGTGCTGCAGGTTAACGAAGTGATCACCATTATAACGCTGTGGTTAACCGCAGACACTTCTCAATTAAACCGAACTCAGGGTGGTCGTCGTTCGTATGTCGACCACGAGGCAGCGGCCATTTTAAATCATGCGAACGCTCAGCGGTGTTTGGCTCTATTTCTATGGAACGGAAAACGGACACTTTTTCTGTCGAACACCGCTGAAACAAGGGAACGCTTGGCTGCCTCCACGAAAGCATGCGAACATCGGCCGTTCGGGAGATTGAGAACACACAAAAGACTTAACCCAGATAGCCCACCCATGGAGTCATTCGTGTACCGAAGGACTGTAAGAACTTTGACTCCATGGCGATTGAACTATGTGTGTGGGATCTGAGCGCTATTCGCCAATAATATGCACTCAGATCCAGGCTATCTGGGAACATGTAATACGAATGGGAAATGTTCAGTCTTCATGTAGTTATGCATTTTTGTGTCTTTTATTATTTCATGTTTAAGATGGCGACTGTCCTTGTCCTGGAGTTAATTGAGTTACTTGGTAATTAACTCCAGGACAGAGGGGAGGGAATCAGAATGTACTGTGGGTAAACTATGTGACTGTGTGTCAGAAATGTCCTGCTATCTGTCTGTACTTTAAGTCTTCCATTTGGTCCCCTAGGGGAGTGTCCACCAGGTGGGAGACCTGCATAAATACGGGCAGGTAGCCCACAGTAAACCCAGATCTTATTTTGACCCTCAATGCGGAGCTTCTGTCTCGTTATTGGGGGGGATTTCTTCTTCACGTTTAGAGACTGCTGGATGGAACGAAAGCCGCTTTGGGGATATTATTGTTCGACGGTTCCTAGCAGTTCGTATATTGCCGTTCGGGAGTTTGGAGCCGTTCGCGGATTTCGATCGGGAGATTGCCGCTTCCCCTGCATTTGGTTCGTGGGTTACAGAGTAAGCGAACAGAGACTGTACTGCAGCCGGGGAAGGTTTACTAAACGGCGGTTTGGCTTAAAGACACGGGAGGTGTCTTAACAATTGGTGGCAAGCAACGGGATGAATCCTACAGCACTGGAGGTCAGCTACAAGAGATGCAGTACGAGGAATTAAGGCGTGCTACACTTAAGGACATATTGGAACGCCGAGGAAGGTCAGCAAGCAATTTAAAGAAACGGGAGATTATTGCTTTGCTAATGGAGATGGATGCAGCAACGGAAATGGAAAGAGTCAACGTGCCCAGTACCTTGGATTTAACACCCGAGGAAATACAATTCAACCGGGCAGTACAAATAAGGCTGGCACATTTTGGCCCCACCCCCTCAGCTGACATCGTGGTTCGTGTGCAGGCAGCAGTTGCAACACAACAGGCAGCCCGGGAAAGAGGAGCTGCAGCAGCAGAGGTACCGTATGACAATAATGTGGTTGCTAGAAAAAAGGTACCTTTTGCTGCGTTTAAAAATTTTGTGGAAACAGAGGGAGAGATTGATGGATTTTGGGCAGACTTTGAGAGGCAGTGTGCGCTACATCAGGTACCTGCAGATGAATGGGTCACCATCCTCTCTGGGAAATTATCTGGCCGGGCTAGTGAAGCTTTTCGGGCCATCCCAGAGGAGGAGATCACCAGCTACCGGGCTGTGAAAGAGGCGCTCCTAGCCAGGTATGCAGTGACCCCAGAGGCGTATAGGCGGAGGTTTAGAGAAACCAACAAGCTGGTTGGGGACTCTTATGTGGAATGGGCCTGCAGAGTCCATCGTACCGCAGCCCACTGGATGGCTGGATGCCAAGCGGTAACTGGGGAGGAGGTGTTACAAGTGTTCCTGCTGGAGCACTGCTTTGATAGACTACCTGCTGGGGTCCGGGAATGGGTCCGAGACAGAAAACCCTCTACCCTACCCGAGGCTGCCCGTCTGGCAGACGAATACACGGATGCCCGCAAGTTGGATGGTACAGCTGCTAAAGCCCCTGCCAGACTGGAATATCGACCAGCAGTAACACCCGCCCCTGCAGTCTACCAACCCCCAGTACACCGTACCCCAGCTGCACCACCAGCTAACAATTATATGCAACCAGCCCGATTTAATGCCCGGGAGTACTCCCAACCCATCCGGTGCTATGGATGCAAGCAGTTGGGGCACAAGCGTCCTGAGTGCCCCCTGAACAGTGCCAACCAGGCTCAGTCCTGGAGGAGACCAGTTAACGGAAACCAGCGCCCACCTCAGCCTGCTGCTCACTGCCTAGAGCAGGAGGAATTTTGGGGCATTCTGCACGAGGCAGACCCAGTGCAAGCGGCTCACCAGGATAATCGCCAGCAACATCGGCAAACTGTGAAACTAAATGGCAGAGTGGTGAATGGGCTGAGAGACACAGGAGCCACGATGACACTGCTCCAAAAGAACTTGGTCTCAGAGCATCAACACACTGGAGACACTGTGGCAGTAAGGGTAGCAGGGGGTGCCGTGTTTCGCTTACCTGTTGCCCGAGTACATTTGGATTGGGGAGTGGGCGCTAGGCATGTGGATGTGGGGGTGATGAAGGACTTGCCCGCAGATGTTCTTTTGGGAAGCGATTTGGCCCCTTTGGTTTCAGCCTATGCTCCGATGGGCCCTGCAGACGTGAACCCAGTGACCACCCGTGCCCAGACCCGTGCTGCCGGAACCAGCCCGCTTGCTGACGAGACCCAGGTAAGATCTCCTTCCCCGACTGATACCCCAGATCAGGTCCCCTTAAGCTGGGATTCCCCAGAGGAGTTTGGGAGGGAAACCCGGGCGGATCCGACCCTCCAAAGATACAAGGACAGGGCAGAGGCTGGGGAGGAAGGAATAGATGGGGAACGGTATGAGTGGGTGGGGGACAGGTTATAGGATCCCTAAACCTTCCCAGAAGAGTGTTGCCTCTCCGCCGAATCGCCAGTTAGTGGTACCTGCAAAGTACCGGCAGGAGATTCTGCGGATAGGGCATGATGTTCCTTTAGCTGGACATCTGTCCCGCCGCACAGCCTATAGGATTTCACAGAACTTCTTTTGGCCAAACTTTAACCAGGCTGTGCGGATGTACTGCAGCACGTGTGACACATGTCAACGGGTAGGAAAGCGGGGGGACCACCCTAAGGCCAGGCTATTATCGATGCCTATTATAGGGGAGCCCTTTGCCCGCATAGCCGTTGACATTGTGGGTCCACTGGCCAGGGCTAGTCCATCCGGTAAGAAGTATGTTCTTACCGTGGTGGACTATGCCACCCGCTATCCAGAGGCAGTAGCGCTGTCTAACATAGAGGCAGAGACGGCTGCTGATGCCCTGGTTAGAATTTTTACTAGGGTCGGGTTCCCTAAGGAGATCCTCTCCGACCAGGGAACCCAATTCACCGCTGTGCTCACCCAGCAACTGTGGAAGGTGTGCGGCATTAAGCCGTTACTTAGCTCACCCTACTACCCACAGACTAACGGTCTCTGCGAGCGCTTTAACGGTACCC